TTTTTTTTTTTGAAGACGTTTTGCTTCTCATCCAAGAAGTGCTTGGATGTGAAACGAAATGCCTTCAAAGAAAAACCAGTTGCCTCTTGAAAAAGCATCTTTGGGACAATCATGACCTGGATGGCTGAGAATCTCTATAAAAATCTACTTATAGTTTTCACAGTAGTAAAATATAGTGTAGTTTCAATATGGTTCGGTTTATCTGAATGGTCCCACGGGACACAAATTTCTCCTGGTTCTGCCCATCCCATCCATCCCTATACATAACCTATTTCTTCCTACTACTCTTCCAATTAACACATTAAGGAATCAAAATCTAGAGAACTTGAGGAAGCTGCAATATAGTAACCCTGCTAATATACCCAAAGAAAAATATTTCTTTTGATATAAGCTTCAGAAGCTCTATTGGACAGCCATTTGTCCTGAATAGATAGGGAGAGGGTTTCTTGCTTAAGCAAGAGGTTCAACTAGAAGACCTCCAACCCCACTCTATGTTCCTTCCAGAAGGCTCGCATTAACGTAGTTCTAGATAAGCGATTGCATCAGGATCTCCCGCTCTCTAGGAGGAGCATTAGTAATAATTTAAAAAGCAGACCAGAGCCCGCGGGAGTTACAGCAATACGAAGTGGGCCTTCCCGGGACGGAGCCGTTAGCCCCGCTGCCTTCCTCCCCGAGGGCCAGCGGGGTAGCCGGCGACAGTTTGTCCCGGGACAGAAAAGGGCAGTGCCGATTCCTCTTACCGACTCACAGCCCCGAGGCGCGGAGGGAGCGGAAGCGGCTGCTCCGCCGCGGGTTCCCCGCCTGCCGCGTCCCCCGCCTCCTCGGCTGTGACCGTCATCGCCGCTGCTCTCCGCCGGCTTCTCCCTTCCGCCCGGCCGTCTCCGGTTCGGGCGGCCGCCTCCCCTTCGGGGCCGGGCGCCGCGGTCGGGCTCCATTGCAATCCCTCGGGCGGCCGCGCTCGACGCGGCCGGACTTCACCGGGTTCGCGTGGATCTCCGCCTCCGCCGGAAAACAGGCCGCTGCAGGAACTAGAGGCCGCGTCAGCCGGGTCCAAAGAATGGGGTGTCGCTGAACCCGCGCCAGGCTCCTTCCCAGCCGCCGCTCTCCGCCTTGAGAAACTGACCCAAAAAAGGAATCTGCTGCTGCGAGGCTGCTGCAAATGGATCGCTCAGCTGCTTTTCTTAGAGAAGAAATATAGAAAAGCAGATAAAGCCTAAATTTCCAATATTTAAATGGGCTTTATCCAATTTTTTAAAACATAATAAGATGTTATTATTAACTCCAGTGGTGATAAGTGGGTGCAACTATAAGCATGCATGTAGTCCTCGACTTACAACGGTTCGTTTAGTGACCAAAGTTACGCTACTTAAAAAAGTGACTACCATTTTTCACACTTAGAAATGTTATAGCATCCCCGTGGTCATGTGATCAAAATTCAGAGGCTTGACAACTAGTTCCTATTTATGACAATTGCAGTGTCCCAGGGTGACGTGATCCCCTTTTG